TCTGCATCCTTTCCTTCAAGGCTCAGGGGTCCAAGATTATCTTCTGTGTCTGTGTTAATTTGTTTCCCTTTTCTTTGTTGAAGAGGGTCTGTGCAATCCTTCTGCCTAGTCCGCCATCTTGCCGGAACCCCCCAAGATTCAGGGTTTTCTTTTATAATTTATTTTTGTTATTGTTGAAAATATACAGAGAACATATAACATATACTAATTCAACAGTTTCTGTGTACACAATTCAGTGACACTGATTACATTCAAGTTATGTAACCATTCCCACTCTCTTTAACTGAGCTGTTCCTCCTCTATTAACCTAAACTCACTGCCCCCTAAGTTTCCTATCTAATTTTTTGAGTTGATGTTCTTAATTTGATCCCATATATATAGTTCTTAAAATACAGTGCTTAAGGCAGACATTCTTTACTAGTTAAGGTAAATTACTATCTGGTTTTAAGAACACTTCAGGTGATATTTTTGGTTTCAGGTTTAGAGAACACCTCCTATTCCTATCTCTCCTTCTTCCTCTGTTACTTCAGGCAAATTGAGACCAGTTGGGCCTTGGATGCAACCTTTTTAGATCCTAAGCATTATGCAGGGGACCATGGGGTAGAAAAGGAACACTAAACATGTTATTAGGTCGGTTAATTGGGATATCCCATGAAACTATGGCCCTAAACCTCCAGTCAAGTAACCAGATCCCTTAAGGTGTTTGTGCATAAGCAGCCTCAGCAGCTGTTCTTTTTTGTTGTTGTTGTATTACACATTTGGTTTTTTTAATCTATCACACAACTATTGCCAATTCAACTTTTTATAGGTATACAGCTTATTGGCAGTAATTACATTAATCGGCTGTACAACTCTACCCTTAATCAGTGTGTTTTTTCCATCACTGTAAGCAATAACCTCTCTTTTCCCCTTTCCTTCTGCCCTTGGTAACCAACTGACAAACTTTGGTGTCTATACATTTGCCTGTTCTTATCTTTATATAAAAGTGAGGTCATAAAATATTTTTCTATTTTGATTGACTTATTTCATTCCACATAATGTCTTCAAGATCCATCCATATTCTAACATGTATCAAGACTTCATTTCTCTTAGTGGCTGTGTAGTATTCCATTCTATGTATTTAAAACATTTTCTTTATCCATTTATTTGTTCACTGATGGGCATTAAGGTTGTTTTCAGTTTTTTTTTCAGTATTGTGGATAGTGCTACAGTGAACACTGGCAATACAAGACTTTGAGTTTCTGCTTTCAAGTCTTTTGCATATATACCTAGGAGTGGAATTGCTGAATCATAAGGTAGTTCTGTTTTAGTTTTTTGAGGAACCACTACACTGTTTTCCACAATAGCTGTACCATTTTGCATTCCTACCACAAATGGGTAAGGATTCCAATTTCCCCATATCCTCACCAACATTTTTTATTTTTATTTTTTTTATTTTTAATCTTCACCATCCTAATGGGATTAAAATGGTATCTCATTGTGGTTTTGATTTGGTTCTCTTTGATAGCTGATAACATTGAGCATCTTTTCATGTATTTGGTGGTTATTTGAATGCCCTCTTTGATGTCCATTCAAATCCTTTGCCCATTATGATTGGGTTATTTTTGTGTATGGTATGAGTGAGTTAGTTCTTTGCTTTGTTAGAGCAGGATTTTTATTGCTAATAAAAGGGGGATGAAAGTGAATAGATACATTGCTAACAAAATGAGTTAGAGTCAGCAGTAATAGTATCCTACCTGACAAAACCATCAGAAAGATTGATGCCCAGTGCAAATAGGAGGCATTTACACATTTTAAGTTGCTGAAACAAAGCTGTAGCGCTGATGACAGTCATGGCACCAAGCAGGCTAATAGAAGACAGTGTGAAAAGTGGGAACTTTGGGGGAAAAACAGAGGAAGGCACAAAAGGTGTGATTAAATGTAACAGAAGCAATCCCATTACCAGGTATATATCCTAAAGAAGTGGCAGGCAGGACATAAACAGATATATGCAAACCCATGTTCATGGCAAGAGCTCTGGTGGCTTAGTGCCTAAGGCATTTGACTGCTAACCAGAAAGCCAGTGGTTCAAACCCACCAGCCACTCCTCAGAAGGAAGGTTGGGCAATCTACTTCTGTGGCGATAACCCCTCAGAAACCGAAAGAGGGGTCGCTGTGAATCAGATTCAACTCGGCGGTTAGGTTATTTGGTTTTATGTTCATCGCAGCACTACTACCAATAGTAGCAAAAAGATGGAAACAACCTAGGTGCCCATCAACCGAGGAATGGATAAACAAACTGTGGTACTTAAGCACAATGGAATCTGCAACCCTAAAGAATAATGTAGAATCTGCAAAATACCACATAATGTGGAAGAACTTGGAGGACATTATGCTGAGTGAAATAAGTCAATCTCAGAAGGACAAATATTGTATTAGAGCACTATTGTAAAAAGTCAAGGAAAAGTTAATGCATGGAAGGAAAGGAAACTTTCTTTGTTGGTTACCAGAGATGGGAGGAGAGGAGAGGCTTAATTCCTAGATAGGTTGGTGGGGGGGGTTGTGTGTGAAGGAAGTATGTGTGTGTGTCTGTGTGTGTGTGTGTGTGTGTGTGTGTGTGTCTAAGACTATTAATGGTTATGAGGGGTAAGAGGGAGGGGGAAACGGGAGGCTTGTTTGCAGGACATTGAGTTTATGCTAATGGTTAATGGTGGTGGACTATTTTGGAAAAGAATGGCAATAATGGTCGCACAACATGAAAAATGTTGTAAATGTCCCCGAGCAGTAAATGGGGAAACTGTTACATTGGAGAATGTCTTGTATGTTTTCACCACAATAAAAGTAAAAAAAAAAAAAAAAATTGTGTGTATATATATATATATACAAACACACATACAGTAGGCTTAATATACCAAACCATGTTCTGAGTTTATGGTAAAGATGTAAATTTACTGAATATTTTGGCTTTAAATTTGTATCTTAACATTGTACTCTCTTCTGCTTGTATATTGTCGTAGTTTCTTAGTTGCTACTATAATAGAAATACCACAAGTGGGTGCCTTTAGTAAACAGAAATTTTCTCACAGTTTAGGAGGCTAGAAGTCTGTCTGTAGAGGAAGGCTCTCTCCCTGTCCTCTGTATATCTCTTGAGGCTTTCCACAATCAGTTTCAGTAGTCCTATCTCTGTTGTCAGTTAATGAAGTTATATTTCTTCTGTTTACAACAGATCTTAGATTAATGATAGTAAAACATTCTATTACTCTTTGTGCATTGACAGTCACTAAAACAAGATAACCTAAATGGAACCCTTCACAGCATTTTCAAAGGGAGCATTTCCTTCTTCTTTCCCTCCCTTGCTTTTTTCTTTACTTTAGTTTCTTTATTATTATTTGGGATGAGGGGTAGAATTATTTATAGGTTTCACAAACTAATTATATAATATTTTGCATGTAATAAACTCTGTATCATGCTATAAAAGGTACCATATTTCCAAGACAATCTATTTATTCTCCTTTTTAGATTTTAAACAGTTTCTCTTCTGGCCACCTCCTTTCTCTAGTTAGAAAATGCCTGAGTACCTGGCAATTGGGGAAGGCTTTCTTGTAACATATTACTCAGCACAACCAGAACTTACTGTTGTAACATCAGAATCACCATAGCAATACAGTTGGGGGGGTTGCGACTACAGGATGAGGTAGTGGGGACAGGGACGATACATGGAGTTAAAAGTGGGGAGGAAACAAGGGACAAACAGGAGCACTCTTCTGTACTTTGCCACGGAGACAGTACTGTGTGAGAGGTCAGGCTTAAAATTGGTGCTTTTCCCTCTCTTGAGGAGCAGCTTGTTCACAAGGGAGTGGTCGTGACTCCAGTGGTGACTCCTGTTCCCCTTAGAAGAAGGCCCTCGGTGGCTTGCACTCCCCGCAGCCAGCGGCGCTCACAACGTCGGTCTCAAGGCACTGCAAGTCGGAGCATCTTGTGTCCCAAGCGGTCAGCCAAGCCCTACGTACTGTCAGCAACAAAAATGAATGTCAGGTAAACAAGTGCTTCTGGTATAATCAGGGGCAAGATTTCAGAGCTTTAGTGCTCTTTAGACAGGTCAGGTGGACTATGTAGAGTAAGGTTGTTTTTTTTTATTATTATTAGGATTTGGGTGAAGATTTACAGAGTAAATTCACTTTTCATACAGCAGTTCACATATACTTTGTCTCATGTCATTGACCAAAATTTACAATGCAGCAGCTCCCCTCCCACTTCCTCCCCATAGTTACCTCCTCCCAGTGTCCATCCCTTCATACTCTTCTGCACCCTGAGCTATCTCCCTGTGCATAAGCAGCCCTTCCTTCTCCCATGATTGTTCTCTCCAGGGCGTGTGTCTACTTGAGGTAAATGTTTAACGTAGAGTAAGTTTTAATGAACGTGATAAAGAAGGAAAAAGAGGATCAAAAACACTGAGATCAGGAAACAGTTTTCATAAATTTTTATCTTTTTCCTTTTAAATTTGTGTTTGGTTTTCTTGTTTTACCCAACTTTCCTATGGACACATTTGATTCATAACTAAAAATAGGAAATAAGATGTATGTGGATACTCTTCATTTTATTAATGTATAGCTACAAAGATATCTTTAAAAAAATTGTTTTTCAATTACTTAAATTCAGAATTGAAGCTCAAGTCCTACAAAAGAATCTCTCAATATAGTGAACTGAAAATCTGACTCTTCCTAAAGTACCAAACTTATCATACCTTCTATCATAGTTACCACATGACCTGTTGATCCCTTCTGCTTTCTTTGCTGTGCTGTTCCAGACATCAGGGTAGTCCTCAGCTGTGACTCTCCACAGATGTAGATCACCAGACTCCTCTCTTCTAATTGCCAAATTTTTCTTCTCTCCTTTCTAAGGTCACTTGAAGCATCTAATAGAGCTGGTGCATGGTAGCACTTGCCCAACAAATATAATCATCTAACGTTTTTAAAACTTAAAAATACTCTTAAAGTTCAGAGTTCTATTTATTGAGTTAGCTTAGAATAGGTAATACCTATAACAGCAAGACTGATATTATTGAACACTTTTTAAGAATATGACAGTCGAGGGGTTAGTCCTTGCTTCAGAGAAATAGACTGGCATTTGCAGCACTTCTAACTCATCTAATTATCAGAACTCTAGTAGAGTCATTAGTTTTGACTAGTCATTAGAATTTGAGGGTATTGATTCAGGATCACCATATAACTGTATTTATATTACATAGTTTTATATATATATATTACTATAATTCTTTAGTTAGAAATCCAGAAGTTCCTCTCTACTACCCTTTCCACCAACCTTATGTGTGTTTATATTTGCCACACAGAATTTTCATTAAATATAAGACATTATTGATTTAAGACTCACTGTTAATTTATGAACCATCAAGGAGAACATTTCCAGTTAACTATGACATGCTACCAATTGCAAAACATATTCCCATTTCAGAGGTATTAAAATGTAGGGAACATGTACAACAGACAATCAATGAAAGAAATACGTTTATGAATGACAATGTGCCATAAGTAGAGAATAGGCTTGTTATGTGTTCCATGCAAGTGAGTGATATTCTTCTAGGGAGGTGTAAGATTTCTTCCTATCGGCCAGGTAACATAGCAATCTCCCATTCCTTTTGTTTTGTTGTCACCAGGAGGAGGAAGAACACATCTGTTCTGTAAAAGATTTTCATTCACATAACAAGTATTGATTGAAGCCCTTTCACTGCTTAATGATGGTCAGGTGGTTTAGTTTATAAGCTTAACACAAGCACTCATGTCTTGTACTCTACTATCCCATTTAGGTTTTCAGCTGCTACAAAAGATAATGAGCATAAACGCTCACTGACCAAGACCCCAGCCAGAAAGTCTCCACATACGACCATATCTGGGAATACCCCAAAAGAGCCAGCTGTGCTCGGGACTCACAAATTGAAGACTGCCAGAGCTGATCCTGCTGCTGGTAAAACACTTCTGGTTCATCTTTCAGCCTTATAGCTTCCTGAAATTATTTATTTATTTATTTTAAATTGTGATTTAGGTGAAAGTTTACAGAGCAAATTCACTTTCCATACAGCAATTCACACACACATTGTCTTATGACATTGACTACAATTTACCCCAATGCAACAGCTCCCCTACCACTTCCTCCTGATAATTAATACTTCCCTGTGTCCATCCCTCAATGTGCTCCCGCTCCCTGAACTGTCTCCCTGTGTGTAAACAGCCCTTCTTTCTCCCATGATTGTTCTCTCCAAGGAATGTATCTATCTCTGGTAAATGTTTAACTCATATTCCTGTCTTTTGTTTGGCTGGAAGCCACAGGTGTGGGTTCAATTCCAGACCTGGAGGGCAGCTAGGAGCCAAGTCTCAGTGGTTCCACCAGGCTCTATCAGACCAGCAAACCTGGTCCCCTTATTTTTTGTTTCCCCCCAAATGATTTTGAGTTTTGTTCCACACTGTTCTCCCTCTCTATCCAGGATCTCCTACATAGATCCTCCTCTGAGTGGTTGACAGTGATAGCCAGGTACCATCTAGTTCTTCTGGTCTCATAGTTGTATAGGCTGAGGATCATATGGTATACCAGTCACTAGGACTAATTCTTTCCATGAATCTTTGGGGTTCTTCATTCTTCCTTGCTCTGGATGAAGAGAGACCCATCATTGCAGCTAGATGGCTGCTTTCAAGCTTATAAGATCCCAGTCGCTACTTGCCAAAGTAGGAGGTGGAACAATATTTTGTATAGTATTGTTATGCCAATTGAGCTTGATGTCCCCTGCGACTATGGTCCCGAGCCCACAGGTTCAACTACTCACTCCCTCTGGGTAGCTGGCTGTGACCAAGAAGTGACTACAACGTTGTCCCTAGTCAGCTCTACTATGCCCCTGGGAATTCTTACAGAACATACAAATATACTTGTAGAACCATTGTCTGCCAGCCCTATACATGATCTTAGGTACACTCCCTGCTGCATAGACATACCTAATAATTCAGCCTGTCCACCCATCTATCCACCTGTATACCCGTGTTTGCCTTCACTGACAATGCAATCCTGTATGTGCAAAAGGGTTCATCTTTATTGTCTGCACCTCCCATGTACCTATGCCCTATTCTTCCTCAACATCACCATGTTGATCACTCACATTTGGTACATTGTCCTTCTCTTTACCCAAATCAATATTTATCTCTACCTATCTAACAGTGTTCCCTACCCTACCCTCCCACCCCTGGTAACCAACAAAGAAAATTTCCTTCCATGTGTAAATCGTTCCTTGACTTTCACAGTAACGGACTAATATCATATTTGTCCTTCTGTGATTGAGTTATTTCACTCAACATAATGTCCTCCAAGAACTTCCTGAAATTAAGTACATCTGCTTCCCTAAAGCTTCTCCATATCTACAAAAGCAAAAATTTTACTATAGCATTGTTGTTGTTGTTGTTGTTGTTATATACCGTCAAGTCGGACCTAACTCATAGTGACCCCTCCTTGGGTTTATGAGGCACTATCACTAAGGAAGTAGATTGCCCCATCTTCCTTCCAAGGAGTGGCTGGTGGGTTTGAACCGCCAGCCTTTTGGTTAGCAGTCAAGTGCCTTAGGCACTATGCCACCTAAGCTCCCTTACTGTAGAATAGTTTTCATTTTATACTGGTGAGATTCAGGCCAAAGACAAAAGCAAGAAATAGAAATCTGCCCAAGGCATCCCTCTTGTCCAAAAGGGGTCATGAGGTGGTACCTTCCTTGAAGACCACTCAGCCCCTTCTAGGACTCAGAGATTAGGAGGATCACAGGTATTCAGTACAGCCTGTGAGTGGTTTGTAGGACTCAGAAAGTAACAGAACCCCTAGACCACAAGTTCAGAGTAAATGTTAACACTAATTAGTAATAGACTGTGTAAGCCAGAATAAGCCATACAGATACTCTTCTACACACATTATCTAGTTTATCATCACCTACAGTGAATGCATAGGTGGTTTTCAAGAGAATATTGCAATAGCAATGTGAGGGTTTAAGACAACGTAACCAACATGAGGCCTATATTAGACCTAAATATGTCAAAGTTTGCCTGAGAGTCCTATTAAATGTTACAGAGTCAAGAGCCTTGATTACTGTGACAGGCTTGCCAGGTCCCCTGAGACTAGAGAAATCCAACAGGAGATTTGGACTAAAGCAGAGTATCATTGTTGGGATAACAGTGTGGAGACTGAGGATTTTTTCATGCCTTAAAGACCTACTTTAAAAATTTGAGTAGTGGGACTGACAACTAAACTTCAGGAGAGGGTCCCAGCAGAGGGAATAGTAAATTTTAGGGTTCCTCCTCTAAATGACTTCTCTTACCCCACCCTACTCCTTAACCTTATCTGTATCAACAAGCAGATATGCCATGTAACATTCCAAATCATACTACAGTACAAAGAAGAAAGGAGCGTGGTGATAACTAATGGATAGTGAACTCATCTCAGATGTGCCTGTCATTTCACAGAGGGCTGCAAGTCATTCAGCAGCAGTCCTCACAGAACCTTATACTGAGAAAGGGCTCTGAAGTCCTTCTAACAGGGGTTCAATCTGCTCAGTTTTGTTTTCTCCCTTTTTCTCGTTCCTTTTTACCTCACAACTATTTCACACTATTCATAAAGACTGAGAAGTGATACTTTGATAAGAACTGTGTTTGCCAGGTCTTTTTACCTTTTCCTAACAAAGCTGTTGGTTTTCCTTTTTCAGTTATTACGCCCTTCAAGTTGACAGCAGAGGCAGTGCACACTCCCATCTCCAATAAGAAACCAGTATTTGATCTCAAAGCAAGCTTGTCTCGTCCCCTCACCTATGAGCCACACAAAGGTATGTGGGGGTGTTCTGAAGTACAAGGCATGCCAAAGACTTAAACAATTCTGCATTTAAGGGTATGAAAAAACTCCAGTGACTCAGTCTAAGCCATGCATTTGATGACCTAGAATCCCTGCCCTTTCTTCCACAAAGACAAATCCATGGTTGAAAAGACTATCCATGAAATAATTAAATATTAAAGAATTCACTTCCATTTTTATTCATCAAAAACTTCCAACCAGTATTACTACAATGAATTTATAAAATTTAAACCAAAATCAAGAAACTTGAAAGTTAGCCTGTGCAGTCTTTTTTCAGTAAATGAATGGTTTCTTTACAGCTTTGAAAGGTTCCTAAGTCAAGAACCACCTGGGACACTTATCAGTAGTTGTCACTCTTGGGCATATATTGAAGTAATCTTATATCCATTTAAAATATCAATACCTAATGTAATCAGGGAGCTCTGGTAGCATAGTGGCTAAGACACTTGCCTGCTAACCAGAGGGCTGGCGGTTCAAACCCACCAGCCACTCCTCGGAAGGAAGGTTGGGCAATCCTACTTCCGTAGTGATACTGCCTCGGAAACCCAAGGAGGGGTCGCTATGAGTCGGGTTTGACTCGACGGCACATAACAACAACAACAATGTAATCTATCTTTCAGTGCTTCTGAAATGACTTTAAAACAAAAAACTTCCTAAAAGAATTACACTTATTTAACAAGAGTTTATTCTTTAAAATTGTCAGTGTTAATGAAACATAAATCTGAATTATTTATAGGTAAAAGTCAGCTAAACTATACTTTAAAAAGAACTCTCCTGCTTATGCACAGGGAGACAGCTCAGGGGGCAGGAGAGTATGGAGGGATGGACCCTGGGAAGAGGTAACTATGGGGAGGAAGTGGGAGGGGAGCTGTTGCATTGTGGTAAACTGTGGTCGATGTCATGAGACAAAGTATATGTGAACTGCTGTATGGAAAGTGAATTTGCTCTGTAAATCTTCACCCAAATCACAATTAAAAAAAAAAAAAAAACCTAAACTAATAAAATTAAAAAAAAAAAGAACTCTCTACTTCTCACCCCAACCTTTCACTCTTTCTCACCTAGTCTTTCCTATCTGTGACAATGTCCCTCTATCCATCTAGTTGTTCAGGATATAAACCTAGGAGTTATCCTTTCCTTCTCACATTCCATCAGACCCCATATGCAGTCCATCAAGTCCTTTCAACTCCACGTTTCAAATGGATCTTTAATCTGACCACTTTTCACCCTTCTACTGCAACCCTCTTTGGTCCACGTCACCACTTTTCACCTGCACTTCTAGAACAGCCTCTATGTCCCACTACAATTTAAAAACAAATGGGAGTACATCACTGCCTTGCTTGAACCTCCAAAGATTTCCCATCTCTCTTCTCTCAACTTCATTGCCTTTCTTAACACTTTTCCACCCACAGTGGTGTTTCACCAAATATACCACATCCCACCTCTGGGCTTCTGAACTTACTATTCCTTTTACTCTACCTGGAACACTCTTCCTACAAACCTTTGTATAGCATGCCTTCCTCCTTTATTAGGGCATCTACCCAACTGTCACCACCTCAGAGAGGCCTTCTCTCCTCTCCCTGCCTCCCACAATTGCTTTTTATTTCCTTGCCCTATTTTACATTGCTGCATAGCACTTAGCACCACCTGACCTTATGTTACTGTCTCTACCATTGGAATGTTAGCCCAAGAGGGCAGAGATTCTGCCTGTTTGGTTCCCTGTTGTGCCCCCAGCATCTACAATAGCACTGGCACATACCAAGTACTCAATGATGCTGACCACCACTTAACTACTGATGTTAGAAAACCTGGATGAAAAAGCTTCATTAGTGTTCCTTACTGTTTTTATGTCCTATACTTAGTTACTTCCATTTTATGAGAAAGAAATAAGTAGTACTAGTTTCATTCATTAGGATCTCTGTTAGCATAGTGCCTAAGGCATTTGACTGCTAACCAGAAAGCTGGCAGTTCAAACCCACCAGCCACTCTTTGGAAGGAAGACTGGGCAATCTACTTCATAGTGATACCGCCTCAGAAATGCAAGGAGGGGTCATTATGAGTCGGAACAGACTTGACGGCAGTGAGTTTAGTTTATTGTTTTGGAATTTCAGTGTTTATTGAAAGAATCAAATAATAGGATGATAAAATGAGAAATACTGCAAATAGAAATCATTGGTCCTTGGAAACATATTTCATAAACTATATATAAATAAAAAATAATAGCTGGAAATTTGGTCCCAGTTCTAAAACCAAAAAATTACTCCATTTCAAAAATATTCCAATAGGTTAATAGTAATAGCAAACTACACAGATGAAATAGTGCTTTAATATTAAACATAATATGTTTAAAATCTCAGGATAAACTACTTGGCTATGATGGCTTACTTTCATGTATAGTATAGTTGGATACAGTATTAAAATAATTTTTTCTCTGACTTCCCAAAACTTACTCCAAACCCAACTCACTGCCATTGAGTCAGTTCAGACTCATAGCAACCCTATTGGGTTTCTGAGGCTGTAAATCTTTATGAAAGTAGATTGCCTCATTGTCCTCTCACAGAGCAGCTTGTGGGATTGAACCACTGACCTTCTGGTTAGCAGCCAATTGCCTTACCCACTATGCCAGTAGAGCTATTTAAAAACAGAACATGTTTATGTTTTTAGAGGAAACATACAATTTATATCTGTGGAATGTGAAACTGAAATAGAGAATACACTGGCAAATGTCAATAAATGTTGCTAGCAAGCAGATTAAGAAAATAAAGTTGGAACATAAATACAAGAATCTTCTTAAATCTGTCTCTGTCCTAAATTAGGAAAGCTGAAACCATGGGGGCAATCTAAAGAAAATAATTCTCTGAATGAACATGTAAGCAGAGTGAGCTTCCATAAGAAAACTTACAAACAACCTCATCTCCAGACCAAGTGAGTACATAATTATCCATCCGTCTAATTGTTTTAATTTTTAAAAATGAAAACAGAATCTCTGAGGGATAGTCTTAGCAATAGTGGTGCTTATCCTGAGGTTAGAAATGGAATCACCTATAGGACTTTCTAAAATTACAAATACCTAGGCCCTCCACAATGGATTCTGGTTCAATAGGTTTAGAGTGGGGCATGGGAGCTCTGGTGGCATAGTGCCTAGGGCATTTGACTGCTAACCAGAAGGCTGGTAATTCAAACCCCCCAGCCACTCCTCAAACGGAAGATTGGGCAATCTGCTTCTGTAGAGATACCACCTTGGAAACTCAAGGAGGAGTCGCTGTAAGTCAAATCGATTGAATGGCAGTGAGTTTGGTTTTGTTTGGAGAGTGGGGCACAAGCCTCTTGTGTTGCTTCCAAAGCTTCACAGGTGATACAGAAGACCCAAACTCAGAGCATTCCTCTTGTATGACCTGTCTGCCAAAAAAAAAGCGATATACTTCCAGACACCATTCAAGTGCCTAGGGTATGTAGTTGTTAGGTGCTGTCAAGTTGATTCTGACTCATAGTGACTGTATGTACAACAGGATGAAACACTGTCTGGTCTTGTGCCATTCTAACAATTGTTGCCATGCTTGAGCCCATCATTGCAGCCACTGTGTCAGTCTACCGCATTGATGTCCTTCCCCTTTTTCATTGACCCTCCACCAAGCATGGTATCCTTCTCCCTTCTGACATGGCCAAAGTACAAGAGGTGAATTCTGGCCATTCTTGCTTCTAAAGGGCATTCTGGCTCTACTTCCTCTGAGACAGATTTGTTCATTCCTCTAGCAAATAACAACAATTACCATTAATTGAATTATGACTCATGGTGACCCCATGTGAGTTAGAGTAGAACTGTGCTCCATAGGGTTTTCAATAGCTGATTTGCTGGAAATAGATCAGGCGTTTCTTCTGAGGTACTTCTGGATGGGCTTAATCACCAACCTTTAGTTAGCAGCTGGGCTGTCAACCATTTGTACCACACAGCAGCACCACCAGGTAGATGTCAGTTCTTCACTCTCAAGAAACCTGGCTTATTTTAAGGTATCACGGCCCTACACCAGGGCTGGTTCAAACTAGGTCAGTCATGGCCAACAGACATGAATTTTTAAGATTTGGGTGAAGCAGAACAACACTCAGAATGGGAAAAATCACTGGTCAGTGTCCTGGAATGGGAGACTTGTAAGACCTTTAGGGAGCCTTTTCAGGAGCCTGATGTGAGAGATTAGATTTTTGCCAAGACCATGGAGAGCAACACACATTCAAAGAAGCAGTTGGCCACCATCTTTTGAGTGGGACACAGCTGTTACTGACTCTTGCAGTGAAGAGATTGGGTTTGCTATACAACATGCATGCTCCCCTTGTTTTCTAAGAGGGAAATTAAGTTTCTAGCAGAGCATCAACTCATAATTTTTCCCATTCCGTTTTACCCACGTTTTTATGAATTCAGTTCCATTACAATTTTACTTCATCAGCCATGACTGAACCTGAAAGAACCATTTTGAATTCCTGCCCTTTACTAGAGGAGATGCCAAGATGGTCCTTAGAGGTTTCCATCAGGATGAAAACCAGGCTAAACTACAGCTAGTCCTGGGCTGCCGCTGGACCTGGATTAGTCCAGATTCTCTGCCTGGAACTTTCCTGATACGGGGTTACCTATCATTGTCCAGCTGCCATCAAAATAGCTTTACAACTATGTTTCTTAAGATAACATTATCCTGGGCTCTTGTTTTCTTTTTTTTATGGGGGTGGGGGGTTTGTATGTAGAAATACAAAACCGTCACTTGAATAAGGAGACCCTGGTTCTAGTTCCAGAACTTTCACTAGACAACTGTGATATTTTAGATTGACCTTTGACTTCCAAAGGTAGAGATTTCTCATTTTAAAACAAAGTACAGTGATTGTATTCAACTGCCAAGGTACCTTCTGGTTCATATCCTTGTTTGATATTAGAATGGTGAATTAACACAAAAAAGAAAATAACAGTTTCTAGACCTTTACACAACAATAGTTTATGCGCATAGCCATCTTCCAAGAACATTATGATAAAGCACAGTGTCCTGTTGAGAGTGTTCTACACAAATGTGCTGGATGTTATTAGCCCAGCAATAGTTGCATTAAAGTGTCTATTGTAGTGCTTCACCAGAGCCTAACTCGTGACCTGTCCCTTTTAGGGAAGAGCAACGGAAGAAACGTGAGCAAGAACGAAAGGAGAAGAAAGCAAAGGTTTTGGGAGCTCGAAGAGGCCTTGTTATAGTGGCAGAGTAGTAATTTAACATTCTATAAATATTCCATTATTCTGAACCTTTTTTCTTGTTTCTGTAAATATTTTTGTGCTGTCCTCCTTACTTTCATCAACAGACTGTTTTTTGTAGTATTTACTGTGTGTTTATATAGTGTCTGTGGGCTCTTCACCTATTGCATCTCTGAAAAGAATTTATCATTAGAAAGCTGAAAATAACAGGTTAAGAATATGGGAAGCTGGGGCAGAAAGGGTACATCTTCATCGTATAGTATACAGAATCCAGAAATCTTAAAGAAACTGGTTATGAAATATTTTACTTATGCAAAAAATGTTAAGCTTATAAGCACCTTTGTTCAGATCACTTCATGTAACTGCCATCTATCATCCATTATGTTCTTAAAAACAAAGCTCTAACTCATTCTAGCCTTGCTTATTTAAAAAATAAAAAAATACAGCACCATTTGGAAATTTGAAGATTGCTTAAAGATTACTATGTTTTGTCAAATCAGCATCTTATTCAATTTATGGAAAAGACTAAGAGTCGCTTAGTATCATATATCCATGTTTCTTGTACCTAAATGGAGCTTCTGAGTTTTATACTACTTAAGGTTTTCATAAATAAACATTTTTTCTCATTATGGTAGATTCATTCTTTGTAAACATAACCTTTCCAGTTTAGGTGACCAGCCAAAATGAACAGGAGTTTACAGTTACCCTTTGTGCAGCTTTTCTTGACTACCACTCATACTCCAGAAAGAAGTGAATGTGTCCTTCCTTTGTATTCCCTTAGCACTTGTAAGATTTTATTATACTTACTGCATTTATGCTCTGGTAGCATAGTGCCTAAGGCACTTGACTGCTAACCAGAAGGCTGGCAGTTCAAACCCACCAGCCACTCCTCGGAAGGAAGGTTGGGCAATCCTACTTTTGTAGTGATACTGCCTCGGAAACCCAAGGAGGGGTCGCTATGAGTCGGGGCCGACTCGACGGCAAATGACAACAACAACTGCATTTATGGATACTTAATACATTCAGATTTCCCTATCAAGAGGCAGAGATCAGATCAATCAAGAAACCCCTGTGGGGATCTATGTAGGAGATCCTGGATGGAGAGGGAGAACAATGTGGAACAAAACTCCAAATCATTTGGGAGAAAAAGGAGGGGGACGACCAGGTTTGCTGGTCTGATAGAGCTTGGTGGAACCACTGAGATTATGGCCCCTAGCTGCCCTTCTCTGGTTGCATAGTGGCTAAGGCACTTGACTGCTAACCAGAAGGCTGGTGGTTCAAACTCACCAGCCACTCCTCAGAAGGAAGATGGGGCAATCTACTTCCATGGTGATACTGCCTCGGAAACCCAAGGAGGGGTCGCTATGAGTCGGGTCCGACTCGACGGCACATAACAACAACAACAACAGCAACTGCCCTTCAGGTTTGGAATTGAATCCATACCTGTGGCTTCCAGCCGAACAACACAGGCACATGAGTTGAACATTTGCCTTAGGTAGACACACTCCTTGGAGAGAACAATCATGGGAGAAAGAAGGGCTGTTTATGCATAGGGAGACAGCTCAGAGGGCAGGAGTGCATGGAGGGATGGACAAAGGGAAGAGGTAACTATCAGGAGGCAGTGGGAGGGGAGCTGTTGTATTGGGGTAAATTGTAGTCAGTATCATGAGACAAAGTGTATGTGAACTGCTATATGGAAAGTGAATTTGCTCTGTGAACTTTCACCCAAATCACAATTTTAAAAAAAAAGAAACCAGTGTAATTGTCAAATACATTCTAATCAATAACCATTATTGACATTGTTCTTCTCTATCAATACTTGTATTCTGTGAGCTAAAGCACAAATCAGAGCCTGGTTTCACACAGTGTTATTCTCATCTGGGCCCACTTAGCAACCACAGAGCTTTGTCTTTGAAAATACATACCAGCCACTGGTTTGATACTACTAGAGAATACTTTATTTCATCTGTCACTGTGGATGCTATTACCCTTAGTTTAGTAACTGTTCTGGTTACCTAGTACTGCTCTGACAAGAATATACCACAAATGGGATGGCCTTAACAAACAGGAGTTTTATTCTCTTACAGTTTGGGAAGCTAGAAGTCTTGAGTTCAAAGTGCCAGGCTTGAAGGGCTGTGTCAAAGCCCTTCAACCTTGGGCTGCAGCTCTGCCTCCTGCTCACAGCCCACAGAAGCTAGAGGCATCTCTTCACTCAGACAGCTACTGGCTGCTGAGGCTAACAAGCCCAAGGTTGACAAATAAAATGGCACAGTCTTGATGTTACCAAACCACACAGCAGGCCATTGATTCAAGTCCATTGAAAGCCCCAAGTTCAGCAGAGTATGGCAGGCTGCTGAACAGTGACAAGGCTACATTCAGGGTTCAAGCGTGCCATAAGCTAGAGACCATTCCCAAAGCTGTTTCTTATATACTGGAAGCAGACCAAATACCCAAAGGCAGCTACTCAGCTGCTCACAATAGATTCTACCTTGGAGTTGATTACCAGTCTCATCATGCGGAATACATCGAGCTGCCCAGCCAAGGTGACAGACAAACAACCACCACAGTGATACAAAACTGCTACATGATCTTCTTTATTTAAAAAGTCGTGGAGTAAGATCTGGAGAATTTTCATAGGCAAATTCTTCTGTGTGGGCTGGATCTGTAAACACTCCAATAAAGTCTATTTCCAGGAAGAATGGTCCATCTACTTTATCAGCCAAGGTGAATCCTACAGAAGAGATCTAAATTTAAAATAGAAAAGTTTATTAAAATTTCATATATTGATGTTATTCCTGAAGTTTTCAAATTCCATGAAGTGATTATTATAGCCAAGTTTTTACACTATCGGTGCTTAGCAATTACCTCTCAAATGCTATAGCAAATTATAAGAGGAAGTATGAGGCTGCTTTTCTTTTCACGTTCTACTTCTACTCCTCCTTAGTGCCATTCTGATCTATGTTGACAAGAGAATGTCTAATGCAATTTTCCTGAAGTTCTTCTGAACCCTAATACTATTATTTTCAAGCTAAAATAAAATGCAGGTATGAGGAGACCAATGGAAAATGACAGAAGTGAATGGAGGCTTCCAATTACTCCCCTAGCAATTACTCTATTAGACAACAAATAGAAAACAAGCACAGACTGAAATCTCGTAACTCTGGACAGCAGAGGAGGTATGGGAGAGGTGGAGTGGGTCCAGAATCAGGAGAAAGGAGCAAGGACGGCACAGAAACTGGAAGAACCTATCTGGAAATATAGGGAGTGCTCAGGGCTGGGTAAAGCCCTAAACAAGGAACACAGAAAAGGCAGTGCAAAGCAGCCATGGGAGTTCACAGGCCATACAGTTGGGAGGGGGTGAAGGCAGATTGGAGCTGTAAGAGTGCTGTTAAATCTTGCTGAGGTCCAAGACAGTCAGGCACAAGGACTGGTAAGAACAACAAAGGCAGCAGAGTAAGGTGAATACTTCAGACTCATGCAATGACACAGAAGGGAAGGCCCATAGTGGGACAACATAGGCCAGCCTGTGCAAGGGTGCTAGTGAAGGAAAGACAGAGAGCATCGTAGGCACAAGAAAGTCAAGCCCTACCACTTATATCAGTGTCTGCAAATAGCTAAACATCGACTCATAGCTGTGTATTAAATTCCAAAGATTACACATCTACAATGCCTAAATCAGCACTGAAGAAAAACCTAAGGATAAGAGTGCCCTCTAGTGGTTTTCAGGAAAAGATACCATGCCTGCTAAACTGGTGGATTCTAACTCGTAACTACCCTGTGAGGCTGAGTGGAGCTACTTTGTGGGGTTCCAGAGTTACGCGTCTTTATGGAGGTGGGCTGCGGCATCTTTGTCCCAAGAAACAGTTGGTGGGTGCGGGTCCCAGCTTTTTGATTGGCAGCCAAGCATTTGGCCCCACACTACCAGGGTATCCAATCAGGAAATATCCCCATAAAAACTAAAGTTAAAAAAAACAAGTTCAACACAACGTAGTAAAACACAAAATCATAGGACTTCCGGCAGTAAGATGGCAGAACAAGCAGACAAGCTTCAACAAACAAAAGAGAAACCAATTGACACAGATACAGAAGATAATCCTGAAGCCCTGAGCATTGAAAGGAAGGATACAGAAGTACATTAAACACCAAGTAGTACAAGAACCTGAAAGAAAACAGGGAGCTCTGGTGGCATAGTGCCTAAGCCATTTGACTGCTAACCAGAAGGCCAGTGGTTCAAACCCACCTGCCACTCCTTGGAAGGAAAACTGGGCAATCGACTTCTGTACTGTACAGATACTGCCTCAGAAACCCAAGGAGGGGTCGCTATGAGGAACTGTGGGATGACATCAAGAACATCATCCATGAAGAAAGCAAAAGGTCATTAAAAAGACAGGAAAGGAAGAAAAGACCAAAACAGATGTCAGGAGAGACTCTGAAACTTGCCCTTAAACAGAAGGTAGCTAAACTAAATGGAAGAAATAACAAAGTCAAAGAGCTAAACAGAAGATTTCAAAGAGCAGCTAGAGAATACAAAGTCATTATAATGAAATGTCCAAAGACCTGAAGTTAGAAAAGCAAAAGGGAAGAACATACTTGGCATTTCTCAAGCTGAAAAAACCAAGGAAAATAGTTAAGCCTCAAGTTGCAATACTGAAAGATTCTATGGGCAATATATTGAATGATACAAGAAATATCAAAAGAAGATGGAAGTAACACACAGAGTCACTATACCATAGAGAATTGGTTGATGTTTGTTCATCTATTTCAAGAGGTAGCATATGATCATGTGCCAATAGTACTGAAAGAAGAAGTCGAAGCTGCACTGAAGAAACTGGTGAAAAACAAGGCTCCAGGAGGTGACAGAATACCCACTGAGATGTTTCAACAAACGGATGCCCTGCTGGAGGCACTCACTCGCTTATGCCAAGAGTGTGGAAAACAACTACCTGGCCAACTGACTGGAAGAGATCCATATTTGTACCCATTCCAAAGAAAGGTGATCCCACACAATGTGGAAATTATCGAACAACATCATTAATATCACATGTAAGTAAAATCTTATTGAAGATAATTCAAAAATGGTTGCAGTAGTATATTGACAGAGAACTTCCAGAAATACAAGCTGGATTTAGAATAGGACGTAGAACAAGGGACATCATAGCTGATGTGAGATGGATCTTGGCTAAAAGCAAAGAATATCAGAAAGATATTTACTTGTGTTTTATTGATTATGCAAAAGCATTCGATTGTGTGGATCATAACAAATTACGGATAACACTGAGAAAAACAGGAATTTCAGAACACTTAATTGTACTCATGAGGAACCTGTACACAGACCAAGAGGCTGTGTTCAAATAGAACAAGGGGATACTGCATGGTTTAAAATCAGGAAAGGAGTGCATCAACACTGTATCCTTTCATCATACTTATTCAATCTGTATGCTGAGCAAATAATCTGAGAAGCTGGACTATATGAAGAACATGGCATCAGAACTGGAGGGAGTCTCATTAACAACCTGCGATACACAGATGATACAGCTTTGCTTGCTGAAAGTGAGGATGACTTGAAGCTCTTACTAATGAAGATTAAAGACTACAATCTGTTGTATGGATTACACCTCAATATAAAGAAAACAAAAATCCTTATAACTGGACCAATAAGCAACATCACAATAAATGGAGAATAGATTGAAGTTGTCAAAGACTTCATATTACTTGGTCCTACAATCAACACCAGGAGCTCTGGTAGCATAATGCCTAAGGCACTTGACTGCTAACCAGAAGGCTGGCGGTTCAAATCCACCAGCCACTCCTCAGAAGGAAGGTTGGGCAATCCTACTTCCTAGTGACACTACCTTGGAAACCCAAGGAGGGGTCGCTATGAGTCGGGGCTGACTCGATGCCAAATAACAACACAATCAACACCAAAGGAAGCAAGCAGTCAAGACGTCAGAAGACTTACTGCATTGGGCAAATGTGCTGCAAAAGTTTCAAGTGCTAAAGAGCAAAGATGTCTCCTTGAAGACTAAGGTGGGCCTGACCAAAGCCATGGTATTTTCAGTTGCTTCATATGCATGTGAGAGCTGGACAATGAATAAGGAAGACCAAACAAGAGCTGACACTTTTGAGTTGTGGTGTTGGCGGAGAATGCTGAGAGTACCATGGACTTCTAAAAGAACTAACAAATCTGTCCTGGAAGAAGGGCAGTCGGAATGCTCCTTGGAAGTGAAAATGGCCAGACTTCGTCTCACCCACTTTGGTCACGTTGTCAGAGGGACCATTACCTGTAGAAGGATATCATGCTTGGTAAAGTGGAGGGTCAAAGAAAAAGGGAAAGGCCCTCAACAAAATGGATTGACACAGTGGCTACAACGATGGGCTTAGGTCCCCTAGCAGGGATAGGGAGGCTGGCACAGGACCGGGCAGTGTTTTGTTCTGTTGTACGTAAGGTCGCTATGAGTTAGAGATGACTCAACAGCACCTAACAACAGTCTTTGCAGTTCTCTTTCACTAAAGACCATATAGCTCTGACTGAAAAGTGGAAGAAAATGGTACCTTATCAAGCAAAAGCTGGAACTGGGCATCTCGGATTCTTCCTTGATTAGAGAAGAAAAACTTGGAGAAAGGAATCTGAAAGAAGAAGCCATTTACTTCACAGCTGAAACATACACAATTAAAGCTTTTGTATGGAACTGAAATAGTAAAAGAACAGTACTTTAATTCTACAATTATATAATATATATAGTGATAACAAGTTATTACATTTGAATCAAAAATACAAATGTGAAAAAATGAAATATGTTAGAAAAAAACATATGCTTTGTAGCCAAAAGTCCCAAAGGAAAAGGATATATATTACAGTATACATTATAACTTCCTGATGGAAAAAGACAAAGGATAAACTAGGGAAAAATTGTAACATTTATGGACTAAATACTAATAGCTCAAACACAAAGATTTTACAAATAACTGAAAGATTAAACACAAATATAGAAAAGTGGACAAATACCAGAAAAGGAAATAAAATAGGTAACAGATTAAAAAATACTCAATGTCACATACAATTAGGGAAAATACAAATTAAAATTATTGATATACTATTTTTACCTATCATTTTTGCCTACTGCAGATGTAATTAAGATCCCAAACCAGTTGACCTTAATATACTGCATAAGTAAACAAGGGGAATATCTTTTGAGTTTGTTGTTGTTGTTGTCGTTGTTATATGCCATCGAGTCGGACCCGACTCATAGCGACGCCCCCTTGGGTTTCCAAGAAATTATCACTACGGAAGTAGATAGCCCCATCTTCCTTCCGAGTGGCTGGTGGGTTTAAACTGCCAGCCTTCTGGTTAGCAGTCAAGTGCCTTAGGCACTACGCTACCAGAGCTTCCTCTTTTGAGTTTAGTAACTAAAAACCTACAGCAGGCAGAAGAGTGGGCACCTGATTTGTTTTGAATCACTAAAATTTCCTTATTTTCCTTCAGGTTAACAGTGCTAACCTTCTCAAAGCTTGATCTTCTCATTCAGAAAATAAGACTCCCTTATATTACCAATAAATAAATAAAAGCTGTGATGGTTATAAACTGTGATGTTTATTCTTTTTTTCTTCACCCATTAATGTTTAAATGGTTTTATGTGTTTATTCCTTGCAATGGAGCCTTTCTACTAAGCTAGGAACACTACATTACTAGAGCTGCCTGGGAGAAACTTAAGAAGAAAAATCTACTTGGGCAGAGATGGACCAATGACTCAGAATAGATCTGGTTGCTATTCTCATCAAAAATATTTACTAATGATACCTAGAAAATCTAAGACACTCAGTCAAAAATCTACTGGAACTAATTGAGAGATTTAGCATCATGGCAGGATATAAGATCAACATCCAAAAATCAGCTGGATTCCTCTACAGCAGCAAAGAGATTGCTGAAAAAGAAATAAGGAAATCAATACCGTTTTCCATAGCTACCAAAAAAATAAAATACTTGGGAATAAATCTTACCAGGGACACAAAAGACCTCTACAAAGAAAACTGTAAAAAACTACTTCAAGAAACCATAAGAGATCTACATAAATGGAAGAACATCCCATGCTC